TAATTGTATATATACACACACACACACACACAAACACACATATATACACATCTGATTATGCGCACCCCTGCCTCCGTGTAGCAGTATTTCTATTATAGGACGGCTGTAAAGCAGTTAATGATAAAATGTACAGTTTTTTCCTTTTAAAAATATTGTTGCTGTATATTACGGCATACCCTTCTACTGTGGAATGCCATAAAAATAGATTCACTTTAATAATACCACTAGAAATAAGTCCCAGATCTTTATGAAAAAAAACTACATTTTTTTCAAAAACTTGAGGCCAAGAGCGTCAGCCATGACTCACTGGCTGCAAGATCCCTAGGTAGCAGTTGTATTTGAAAGATTGATGAAAGGTGAAACACAACATTCTCTAGATAAGACAGAACATCAAAGCGTCATACCTAAAAGATATCCCCATTTTCCCAAAGTTGAAAACGAAATTCAGAATGTGGTTGGCCTAAATGAGAATATGTGAAGACGCAAGCTCTGGAGTCATCAGACTGATCATTGTGAGATGACAGCCATGGACCCTACGCCTTTATAAGATCCATCAAAACTCCCATATTTCTACTCACAGGTTCATATTAAGGAAGCCTGCATGAAACAAAGGAGCTGATATTCATAAACACCTTAAAATGTTAGTTGTCTGTCCTTATCCTCTGAGATTACATACAGTAAGACTAAACGTAATCACCATTCACCAGGGAGAAGCATTGCAAAACTGAGTACGGCAATATGAACAACAAGAAAGTATCTCAAAGTATTACTCCATTTAGTCATCCTGAAACTAGCCATAGATGCAGAAATTTGATAAAGCGTTCTATAAAACTATTCCATTTTTTTGCCAAAATTGCTAAGGAATCTGACATAAAATGATTCAATGAACTACCACGGCGCTCCACGACACTGTGGCAGTTCATGGAGAACTACAAGCCGACAGTTGCTGTCAGGACTTCATTCAGAGGAGTGACATGACTGGGCAGAGCCGCAGACAGCCACATCAAAGTGGGGGAAGGGCGGAGAGCGGGGGCTGGTGTTTTCATAAGGTTACACCCTGAATATGGGTGTAACATGTTATGAAAGGTGAACTTATCCTTTAAAAGTACCATTCAGCTCCAGTTTGTAAAGGATGAACACAAAAACTAATGGGAATGCTGATTGCCACTTTTAATATGCTGCTAGCAGGCTTCAGCCCTTCTTGAAGCTTGCTGAAAGCCTGTTAGCAGCTTGTTTAAAGTGGCAATCAGCACTCCCATTAGGATCTGTGTTAGTACTTTGAACACTTCAAAAGTTTACTGAAAGCTCTGCAAATCCTCTGTTAAAGCTTGTGGTTCACACTGCTCTTATACAAGCTGAAGCCTGTGAGAAGCAGGCCATAGTCACATATGCGATACTTCCCTGCTCTGTGGTCTTGCACAGAGCAGCCTGCATCCTCTTTTTGGGTCACCCATCAGTGCTCCTGCAGGCTCCGAGCAGGCGCATTCCTGAGCAGCAGCAGCTCGGCGTATCCATTCGCACGCACAGCTGCAGCTCAGTTCTTCCCCTCCATCTTCCGATTGGCTCACTGGCTGTGATTGGCAGCCACGGGAGCCAACAGCAAAAGTCCCCGTAGAAGCAAGGCTCTTGTAGAAGTCGCTGGATTGCAATGGGGCTCAGGTGTTAGAGGGACTGAGGGGGGAGCTGTGCACAGAAGTTTTTTTTTTGCCTTCATGCATAGAATGCATGAAGGTAAAACACCTTGAGCCTTTGGAATCACTTAAAGACTGCTATGTATATGGCCAGCTGGAAAAATCAGGCAACTAGCCTTTTCAAAATAGCAAGAGAAAAAAAATGGCAGTCTCTGTACTTCTGTGAGCACAAGTTTCTTTTAAGGAAAACATAAATAAGTCAAAAAATGTTATATACCATTATATAGGGCTGTATCCTAAATAAAGCCAACATAAAAATTCAGAGAGGACAAAACCACTAATACGTTGCAGAAAAATGGATCTACGAATATATTGCACACAAACTCCTGTACTAGTCAGGTTGAAGAATTCAAGACTTACAAGTCAAGACAATTTGTATAAAAAAATTATATAGGTCAGAAAATTAGAACTGTAAAAGCCCTTATACACAAATACATCACAGCTACACCCAATAAGCACTTGCATTTCTTATTCCAGTTCATTCACTGTTAGAGAAAAACATGCCAGATGAACTTAGAAGGTGTAAATAAGTATTTGCAGTACAAATGACAGCAAAGCAGTGCTGGCAAACGTCTAACAAAAGCAACAGTATGCTACGCCAGCAGACTCTAAATGATACCTAGCAGTTCCTGTATTTTGAAATAAAACATCCATATGCATCACTGACCACAGAAAACACAGCCCACCTACCCTCTGAAGGCCTTCCTATTATGCTAAAAACCATCATATTGTAGTGTAGTGATACCGGCCCCAAGTCAAACATCTCACTTATGCAGAGACTGTGGACTCACACAGGTGGATCGGCCTATAGAACGTGAAGAGCCATTGGTTTTATTGTGTGGCGGGTGCACACAGGCAGCCTGTTTTTCTCAATGGAGAAGAGAGGCTGTACAGACTCACCGGCAGATGTAATTGTGAGATGAGGGGATGTGTGTAAAGACCTGGATGCAGACAGTCAGGTGAATATGTACACTCATTCTGTCTCCACTAACAAAAACCAAGCTGCTTGCGCACAGCTCAGATAAATAAATGACTCTTCACACTGTATGAACCAATTTGCCTGTGTGAATGAGCCCTTGAACATTTTATTTCCAAAACACAGGTATAGCCAGGTGCCATGTCCTTACTGCTATGAAAAAACAGGTATTCTTAAATAACTCCACTAACCACTATTTGGCTCTAAAATGGTCACCAACATAACACTTTCAAAAAAAACTACAACCCTTTCAGTTTATGGGTCCCCCAAAAATTCTGAACACAAAAAAAAACATGTACCCATTTTTCTTTCCTTATGAATTTATAGTTCTTAAAAAAAAACACAGGTATTACAGACCCATTTGTGCTTTCCTTTTATTTCTCCATTAATGTAAATATCAAGAACTTGAATGGCAATTCAAACTGGCATAAAGTAATAATTTTTATTCGTCAAAAATAATCCACACAGACACACATCCACTACTTAATGGCCCTACAATTTATTTTTCATTAACCCATCCCTTGCTGTGCTTTTCTGTCTGCTTATAATGTTCATTAGCTGCGGTCACCTGCACAGCTCTATGAACACTACAGATCCAATTGTTCATAAAACGCACTTTTAAGTTAAGAAAACATAATAATTGAATAGAATTTCTCTTTTTTCAAAACTAGAGTTTAAGTTTGTTGAGACCGAAGTTTTTGAAAGCATGAATACTGCTTTCCTTCACACGAAGGCCTGGTTCACTGTACCACAGCTGTGAGATCCGGCCATTTGAAAGAGCTGCCATGCTCCTGAATAACGCATAAAAACATGCGGCTGAGCCACATATTTCCACCCCCAACCACTCCCCTTGAAGCTGGAAAGGCAGCAAATTGGGGTGTACTGTTGCATTCGGAAGACAATACAAGCAGTGGTGTCGATTATTTATAAAACACACAACTGGGCACTTGTTCTGTATAAAATAGTTACATAGTTAATCTAACAAAAAAAAAAAAAAAAAAAAAAAAAAAAAAAAGGAAACGTCATTCCAGTTCAACCAAAAAAAGTTATAATCCTACACCCACAGTTGATCCAGAGGAAGGCAAAAAAAAACCCAGCAAAACATGATCCAATTTGCTCCTGCAGGGAAAAAAAAAAAAAAAATTTCATCCTGATTCCCCGAGAGGCAATCGGATGTTCCCTGGATTAATTTTATCTATAAAATGTTAGTATCCAGTTATATTCTGTGTATCCAAGAAACAATCCTGGCCTTTTTCAAAGCAATCCACGGAGCTGGCCAATACCAATTCTTGAGGGAGTTTTTTCCACATATTTCACAGCTCTTACGGTTTAGAAACCTTTCCGTATTTGGAGATTAAATCTCTTTTCCTCCAGATGTAAAAGAGTGCCCCCTTGTCCTCTGTGATGACCTCAGGGTGAATAGCTCTACACTATATGAATCCACTGATGTATTTATACATGGTGATCATATCCCCCCTTAATCTCCTCAAGAGAGAATAAATTCAGTTCCTCTAATCTTTCCTCATAGCTGAGCTCCTCCATGCCTCTTATCAGTTTGGTTGCCCTTCTCTGTACTTTCTCCAGTTCCCCAATGTTCTTTTTGTGAATTGGTGCCCAAAACTGAACTGTATATTCCAGATGAGGTCTTAATGATTTTTACCGGGGTAATATGATATCTCTCTCTCTGGAGTCTATACCGCTTAACAACGTGACCTCCAAAAGGATTTACCCCCCCTTCCTGACGAGGCCATTTTTTGTGTTATGGCTATGCATTACTTTGACAATTGCGCGGTGTCGTGCAACGCTGCACTCAAAATTTACGTACTTCCCCTCCCCCCACAAATAGAGCTTTCTTTCAGTGGTATTTGATCACCTATTTTTTTTTTTTTTTTTTTTTAAATATTGCAAAAAATAATGAACAATTTTGGAGGTGAAAAAAAAAAAAAAAAAAACCAGACACCACACAGGGAAAACTTGACTTTTTGCTATTAACCGCTAGCCTGCAGAGCACTTATACCCCCTTCCTGCCCAGGCCAATTTCCAGCTTTCAGCGCTGTCACACTTTGAATGACAATTGCGCGGTCATGAAACATTGTACCCATATGAAATTTTTATCTTTTTTTGTGACAGAGAGCTTTATTTTGGTGGTATTTAATCACCTCTGGGATTTTAATTTTTTCTTAAACCAGAAACCACTGAAAATTTTGAAAAAAAAAAAAAAAAAAAAAAAAAAAAAAAAGTTTTAGTTTTTGTTATACAATTTTGTAAATAAGTGATTTTTCTCCTTCACTGGTGTGTGCTAATGAGGCTGCACTGATGGGCATTGATAGGCTTCACTGATGGACACCGATAGGTGGCATTGATGGGCATTGACAGGCATCACTGATGGGCACTGAAAGGCAGCACTGATACATGGTACTGATAGGCGGCACTGACAGGCAGCACTGATTGGCATTGACTGGCACTGATGGGTGACACTGAAAGGCAGCTTAGATGGGCACTGATATGTGGCATTGATGTGGCACTGGTGAGCACTAACACAAGGCACTGATGGACACTGACAGGTGGCGCTGCTGGGGCTACACTGATCATCAGTGCCCCTGATGATCAGTGTACATGTCCCCTCCGAGGAATGCCAATTACCGGCTGTCCTCTTCTCGAGCTGTCAGCTCGAGAGGAGAGAAATGCCGATAACCGACATTTCCCTGTTTACATGTGATCAGCTGTGATTGGACACAGCTGATCACATGACCGAGCAGACATCTTCGGCTCTTTCCGTGATTCGCTGTGTCCGAGGGACACAGCGCACCGCCGATCGCCAAGCTGCACGCTCCCTGAGCCACGCATGCGTGGTGAGAATGGGAGGACGTCATATGACGTCCTCCCAGAACGAGAACCACCTTGCGTCCATCATATTACTATATGGCGGATGGGAGGTGGTTAAACATGTTCAAAATATATATATAAAAATCAAATTTAGTCATAAATTTAGGCCAAAATGTATTCTGCGACATGTCTTTGCTAGTCTCCCCAGTGACACCAATACAGTGATCAGTGAAAAGAAAGAAGAAAAAAAAAAAGCAGACACTGTACTAACGGCACTGGGCAGGAAGGGGTTAACATATGGGGAGATCAAAGGGTTAACTGTGTGCTGTACATGTGTGCTTCACTGCAAGCATAGCACTGTGCAGGAGCTGACAGGGGAGAGAACAGTTTACTTACAGTTCTCCCCTTCCATCGGTAATGCCCTCAGTCACTGGGTGCTGGTGAATAATCACCGGCCAGGACCGGTGATTGACAGCCGAAGCCGTGAATAGCGGTGTAGGTAGGGCTCGCGCGCACCCCCTACCTGGAAATGCAAAATCACGTACATATACATGATTTTGCGCACTCCTGCTGCCGTGTGGCAATATTACTGCTATAGGGCAGATGAGAAGCGGTTAATACAAGAGAAGATTTTGCTCGCTTTAGAAACTGCAGCTTGGCATTGCATGCCAATATTAAGCTTGTGATCTACCAGATCTCCCAGATCCTTCTCCACCATTGATTCCCCCAGTTGCACCCCCCCTAGTATGTATGATGCATGCATATGCTTAGCCCACAAGTGCATAACCTTACATTTATCAACATTAAACCTCATTTGCCACATAGTTGCCCAATTAAACCGAGCATTGAAGTCGGCTTAAAAAAAAAAACAAAAAACTGCAAAATTTTTCATTAACAACCAAGAATAACGTGCAAAGTTAATTGTTTGCAATTTCACAATTCAATGTTTTAAAATCCAATCTTACAAAAAGGTACTATTGGAACTTATTTAAAATGTACAATAGAACTGACAAGAGAACACGCTGGGGGAGGTTTACTAAAACTGATGCACTCAATCTGGTGTAGCGATGAATGGTAGCCAATTAGCTTCTAACTTCAGCTTGTTCAATTAAGCTTTGTAAACCAATCAGCTTCTAGGTTTTATTGCCACAGGGGTGTGAACGTTTTTAAAAAAAAAACTACTTGTCCAAGGACTAAAAAAAGGTGTCCCAATGTACTTGTCCCTCATGAAAATCTACTTGTAATGATAGAAAAACATAAATTTAACCAAAACCATATTTAAATCTGCTTTAAGTAATGTCTGGGGCTTTTAAAAAACAAAAAGGGGCTTTATGGCGATGTAAATGTTTAATATTTTTAACATTCACTGTTTATCTCCTTTCCCCCCCCCCCCCCCCCCCTGTCTCCAGCTCCACCCCCAGGGACTAGCAGGGAGGGGAGAGACCTTGCAGTGTAATGAGCACAGATTGGCTGCTCGTCAGGAAAGGGGAGTGTCTGGCTTATCCTTTATCCCTTTCGCTGCCAGAGCTGTTTTTGCGTTATTTGCACACATTTAAAATATCGTTTTCGGCCTGAAAATTACACAAAACCCCCAACAATTATATATTTTCTAAATTCAGAGATCCTAGAGAATAAAACAGCAGTAGTTCCAATTTTTTTTTTTATATCAAACGATATCACAAAGGCCTAGGAAACACAAAATTTCAGTAACAAAAAAAAAAACAAAACAAAAACAAAAAAACCAAACAACCACACTTAAATTTGGGGCACGAAAAGCAATAAAATTATCCAAGTTTTTTGTAAAACATAAAAGATGAGGTTGCAGCGAGTACATAGATATTCAACATGGCAAACCTTAAATTTGCGTGCACTTGTGAAATGGCAACAAACTTTAGTACCCTATATTTTCTATAGGTGAAACTTTTAAGCCCCTCACAGGTCATCAGTATAGTGTTAGAGGAGGTCAGGTGCTAGATTTATTGCTCCCATTATGGCGTGCGTGGCGATATGCAACAGGTGTATCGCAATCCACATTTTCATGTGTAGTGTAGGCGCTCATGCATGTCCTTTTACATTTGTGCGTACCTATGCGGGGGTGGGGGCCCATGACCAATTTGGCAGTGTTATATGCTTGGGTGTAACTTCCATTTTTTTAAAAAAAAAAAAAGTAACTTTTTTTTTTTTTTTTTTTTTTGAATTAATTCACATAGGGGACAAAAAGTCCCCTATGTGATGATTTTTGGCGACAGGTTCTCTGAGATATCCAGGGTCTAAAAGACCCTGCATGTCTCCCCTGTACTACACTTAATGTAATGCGGTGTACATTGCACCGCATTACAATCTTTCCCGGCCTCAATGACCGGCGGGAATCTGTTGAACGGGGACCCAAAAGTGACATCACATCAACTCCGGGTCAGGAGAAGGGGAGAGAAGTGGACATGTTCGATCTCCTCCCTCCCCTATACCACATCCCGTGGCACCCACCGAACCAGTCTCGGGCTCGCAGATAGGCAAGTGGAGCCTGGGACCTATAGTGGGGGAGAGGCTGACACTGTGGGCTTCTCCCTCCCCTCTAACCGACGGCGAGCTGAGCCCACAGATGGGCAAGCGGAGCATAGAAAATCTCATGCCCAGGGCGTGGAGAGGCTGTGTGAAACCAATCGGCGGCAACGCTGCCGCCAATTTCTTTACCCGACAGGTGTGCCCGCTGCTTGCCCGCAGCAGGGCTAAAAGAAAGAAAAAAAAAACCTACCTGCCCGGCGCCCAGAACTACATGTCCCAGGCATCAGGTGATAGCAATTGCACATCCTTGTGCCAAACATTTACATTACACATGGCACTGGCATCACCAACTCCTGTAAGATCCTTCTGTGACAGTCTGCCTCTTGTGAGGTCAGCGGCACATTTGATTCTCTTCGGTGGGGAGCCCCACGGTCAACTGTGAATGTGCCGGTTGTAAGGCTCCCGCTCCTAGAAAATCTAATGCTGGCTGCCTGGTGATCTGAGGGCTGAAGTGGTAGCGCTGGGGAGAGGCTGCATAGCCATAAGTAGAGGTTTCACTCACTGCAGGCTACAGTGGCAAATGACAATACAGCATCTGGTGGCTTCTAATTCACTCCTTGGTTGTCTCTTACCTCAACTGTTACAACCCCCTCCTCATTGGGTTATCTTTACATAGGCTATCCCCCTTCATTCCATCATGAATGCTGCTGCCAGACTCATCCACCTCACCAACTGTTCAGTGTCTTTCTCTGCCAATCCCTCCACTGGCTTCTGCTCCCGCAACTAACAAAATTGAAAACACTAACTTAATAAGCCATCCACAACTCAGCCCCCAGCTACATCACTAACCTAGTCTTAAAAATACAAACCAAAATTGTTCTATTCGTTCCTCCCAAGACCTCCCACTCTCTAGCTGCCTTGTCAACTCTGACTGAGCTCACATCCAGGACTTTTCCTCGAGCCTCTCCCATCCTCTGGAACTCTCTACCCCAATCTGTTCAACTACCGTCTACTCTGTCCACTGAAATCTACTATGATCCCTGAAAACTGTTCACTAGAGAAACTTATCCTGCCTTCACCCAACAACTGTACTTTTATTTTCTCCATATGCTCATCACCCAGTTATTCCCTTTTGTATCACCTGATCCTCCCTTTTAGATTGTAAGCTCTAAAGGAGCAGGGCCCTCTGATTCCTTCTGTATTGAACTGCCTTGCAAAAACTGTTGCCACTATATAAAACCTGAATAATAATAATAAATGAGTATTCTTAAGCCAGCCAGACATGTACTGAATATCAGCTGGTTCAGCAAGAATCAAGATGAATTTCTGATCCACATATGGGCACAGCAGCTGTAAAGAAGTCATCTACAGAATGACTTCTGTACAAACACCCTGTTGCCACCCAATCATTTTGTTTACCTGTGTGATGACACATCTTAGGATGCCTTCACACCTGTGCACTTCTCTTTTCATGTGCTTTTCAATGTTTTCTGGATTTTTGTGATCAGAGTTTAAGCAGGTGTGAGAAGAGTCCGCTATTAACCAAATGTAGCTAGGCCAAAAGAACAAGGCCTTTTGCTTGGGCAGAAACTGTGTAGCATTTGCAATTAACAGTCTTTTCGTCCACCCTGAAAGCCTTCCACAGGCCCCACAGAGTAGGGATGCACCCAAATTTTGGACACCAAAACATATCAGCAGAAAATAGCACTATCGGCATTTTGCCAATACAGGTGCTGATACAGGAGACTGTGTGTACTGCAGATATAAGGGGGTGGTTGAGAAAAGCAAGAGAGGAGCAGTTTATACAGCGACTGGCTGTCACTATAGGTCAGTGCCTGTTTTTAAATGTAATTACTGCTTTTTCTTTTCTTCAGTATAGTTCACAGAATTAGCTGACACTTTCCCCGGAGCTAAAAGAAACAGTTTCTTTTTAGTTTATTTCTGGAGATAAAAGAAACAAAAAAGTTTCTTTTTGCTCCAGGGAAAGTGACAGCTAATTCTGTGAGCTATAGTGAAGAAAAAAAAAAAAAAAAAAAGCAGGCAATTGCATTTAAAAACCTGCACTGACATATAGTGACAGCCAGTAAGGGAGCCTCTCTGTATACACTGCTCCTCTTCTGCCCCCTCGCACACACTGCCCCCCCACCCCCCTACAAAGAGGACCTGTCACTCACATGCTATCACACAGGGGACTATTTGTCCCCTATGTGACAGCAATAAAATCATAAGTTAAAAAAATACATGAAAGTAGAAAAAAAAAAAAAAAAAAAAGGGAAAAGAAGCCTCCCCACCTCCACATACGCAGACATTTCAGTTTGTTTTTCAGCTACATGCATTCTGAATTTTCGGTATCGGTTACAGCACTAGAATTTTCATTTCGGTGTACCACTACCACAAAGCATATCAATAGATGGCATAAAAAAAAAAAAA